GGGGGTGGTACTCTTATGTTTTGCATGCCTTAGCGGTTAGACCATTGACCACGCGTCCTCGAGAGGACGGAGCATTGTTCCCACAGGACCGATCACCGATGGCCAATCGTTCCTTCCTAGTTTGCCAAAGGTGGCTCAAAACTGTCTTCCCCAGTCTGTCTATCCTAACGATATCCCTTCCCGCCTTTTCAAACCACTTCCTACTCCCCAGTACAGCTACCGTCCTCTCCTCTCTATTCCATGCCTCAAACATCTCCCTGTACCTCCCTTGTATTTTTCCCAGCTCAGTCATGTACACTTCCCTCTCCTCTTCGTTCCACGGACATTCCGCGACTACATGAACACGGTCTTCGCATTCAAAGCCGCAATCACATTTGAAGTCGTCTTCTTCGTCGCCTACCGTCCTACGTCTTCGTCGACGTTCTCGACGGCCTACATGTATGTCCCCGGTCCTGAATTTGACCTTAAGCTTTGTCCCTGCATCCATTGGTCCATGTAGGTAGTATTCTCGGCAACCTCTCCTCTCCCATCCCGCACATGCGATACTGCTATGTCAGCTTCCTTGCGTCTCTTCCCGACCGTAGGGATTGGATCCCAAATTCTGCCCTACGGCTGCATTACTTGTGCGCTTGGAGCATCCTAGGATGATTTTCGCTGCTTTCATCTGCGCCGCCTTGAGTTCTTTCACTACCTTCTTATTTCCTTCCCATACTTCCCCGGCGTACTCTAGCGGCGGTACGATACCGCTTTTCAAAACCGCCAATTTGATGCGTGTATCGAGGTGCCGGTTTGCGAGTATTGGGTGCAGCTTCCCGGCTCGTGCTTTGCCCTTTTCCGCTACCTTGGACATGTGTGCATTCCACGAGCAGTCTTTTGCGATATCTACTCCGAGGTATGTGTACTGGTCCACTACTGCAATCTCCTCGATCCCCCACTTCCATCTATATTCTACTTGTTCCTCCCTGACCTCGTTGCACACCATGACGGCACTCTTCTTAACGTTGACAGACAATCTCCATTTATCAGTAAACTTCTTCGCCGCGTCAATTTGCAGTTGCAGTCCCTCAGGGGTGTCCGACATACCAACAAAATCATCCGCAAACAGCATTCCTGACACCGAAGTTTCCGTGTCCCCTACTTTTACTCCCTTCCGGACTGCCTCTACGACTTCCAATAGATCGTTGATGAACACCTGGAACAATGTCGGGGACAGCGTGCAACCTTGTAGGACCCCTTGCTCAATGTCGAAGAACTTAGACAGTTCTCCGTCTGCATGACCGCGCTTTTCGTACACTCTGTCATCTTCTTCAGCACTTTCCACATTTTCCCCTTGATCCCGTACTTGGACAATTGTTTCCACAGCCCATTTCTTCATACTGTGTCGTATGCCTTTTTCACGTCCAGGAAGAAGCAGTACGTCGGCTTTCCCGTCCTCTTTCTATCTTGGATGTTTCTCCCCACCGTGAATGCGTGGTCTACGCACCCCCTCTTCTTTCGGAAACCTGCCTGGCCCTCACTAATGCTATGTTCCTTCTCCAATACTCCCACTATCCTATCGTTCAGCAGCATTCAGAACACTTTTCCTACTGTGTTCAACAGTGTGATCCCCCTGTAGTTTCCGGGGTCAGTCTTGTCTCCTTTCTTAGGCAAGTTCACAACCACTCCTTCCCTCCATCTACTTGGCGCATACTCGTTTGTCCACACCCAGTTGTACAGCAGTACCATCAGGAGGGAGGGGGGGATCAAAGGGGTGGGGAGTACGGTGCACACAGCTAGAGGCTATCGTCCGATGTTGCATACATTTCAACAAGACCCACGCTGAAGCTCGTTGAAACCACGATAAGAATCGAGCATAGGCCAACCGCGACAAGAATCATGCGTAGGTCTCTATGAGTCGCGTGGAATCTCCTCCCTGTTGGTGCTTAAGTGCCAATGGTTGTGAAAGGTGTGCCAATCTATTGGGTAGGGTAGGGTGGGGTAGGGTAGATCAGGGTAGATTGTTTTTGGTCGTCGCGGAAAGATTATCATGCCGCATGCCTGGTGTCGGTTCTTGTGGGACGTGGTGAACCCTGAGGTGTGCTTGCGCTCCACAACTCTAACATCGAATCTTGAAATTGTCTGGTTGGTGGTCTTATTGGCTCCGTGTATCAGTATCGAGCGCCAGGTACCTCGAACTCCCTGGTGCTCGTTGTCACGAGATGCAGTGACCCGTTCTAGTGGGCAACCGCCGTGCGTCTTTGTTGTTGTTTTTGTTGATCTCGTGTTGTTGTTCCGGCAGGGCTCAGCCGACAAGGCTGCGGATGGGATGCTCAACAGGTCGGGCGCGGTGGGCACGGAGGCCCTGATGGGCGTGCTGAAGAACTACTGCCGCAGCCTCAACCTCAAGACGGCCATTACCGTGGGAGTCATCGGGTACCCCAACGTCGGAAAGTCTTCCCTGATCAACTCGCTAAAGAGGTTCGTGCAAGGGGGAAGGGGAGGGGGAAGAGAAGGTCGGGAGGGCGAGATTGTATGGTGGGTGCGAAAAGAACGAGACGGGTAAGACACAAAGTGGATGTGTAGGACGAGAGATACGTCCATTCTCACAATGCACATGTTGACAAGTTCGGGCCATTTCGGTGTTCCGACCGCCTTTGCTTGTTGTGTGTCGTTACAGAGCCCTTGGAGTCATGTCCCCTACGCTAGCCGCCGGAGGCCGCTCCTTTTGTGTGTGTATGTGTCTTTTTTGTTAGCATCGACCGCACTAAGCGACGGACCAATGGCGTCAGTCTCAGTGCGGTTGAAAACACAAAACACGTTTAGACGCCATCAAGTGGGAGTGACTGTGTGTGTATGTCATTCTTTTTTGCGTGTGTGTTACCGGCTAGCGCTCGAGCAGTGTGGGTGCCTTCTGTGCGTAATATGTTTATTCTCGTAGATTATTCTCCTACTCTCGTCTGTTCTACTGATTCCAAGCCAACCCTCCCTAACCCTCTTGCAGTCGTTTGCTGTGTCCAATCACTCCTCACGTTCAATTTTCTTGAGATGGTCTTGTTGTTGCAGGGTCCACCCAGTTCTCACCCGGTGGTTCCCTTTCTTTGGGGTTGTTCTCACCCTCATGCTTTCTGGTTGCGAAACGAACGTGGCTGCGGCAGGGTTCTGGCCGTAAAACGCTGTCGTACTTTGTTCGTCTTGCAGCAAGCCGTTTCCTAAACGGTCACATAACCACGTTGCATCAGGTATATTTGTGCCGTTAATAGGTTACATGCTGACGGCTGTGTGTATGTTGTATGTATGTATGTATGTATGTATGTATGTATGCAGGTCGAAAGCGGTGGGTGTGTCGGCGACGCCGGGCTTCACGAAGTCCATGCAGGAGATACACCTTGACAAGACGGTGAGGACCCCCAATATGTTGTAGAGTACACGACAAGGCTGTGCTCTGCGTTCAGTTCTGTACAGGAAAGAGTTGTGGTGTGCTGTCCCTCCTTTCGTGTGTCTTGGTACAGCAGCTGCGAAGTCACATGCGCCCGAGCGTTTGATAGTTGCGAGTCAAATGTCTATCGCGGGAAAGTAGTGAAATAATGAACACAGCAGTATTTTTGTTTGCGAGGTGTCTACATATGTAGATCACCGGGGTTTTTTTCCAGACCTTTACGCTGTGATTGCTGCTGCTCCTCTTCGGACTGTTGACATCTCTGTCGCCCAACCACGCCAGAAAGAGCATGCTTGAAAGAGCATGCTTGTACACGCTACGGCCAGTCCGACCATCGGCTCTAAAGGGAACACATAGTGTACAAACTCGCCCTGAGCCTATTACCTAACTCACTGGTCCTGTACGGGTTGGCGTACGGCGCGTGGTGTTGGTCAAGGAGGCGCTCAATCACTCGCCCAGCAAACTGGCCGTTGTACTTTGGGCTCCACACCCATTACACCCCCCGCCCTCCCCGTTTGTCAAACGTAGCCTGTGCCGGCGAAAACCCGGCATATCACTCCGTCCCGGTATTGTGAGGATTCGAGGTTAATGATCTAATGACCCACATGCGTTTACCTGAGTACGCCCCCCCCCCCCCCCCCTCCCCTTTGCGGTTACTTTTTTTAACACTTGCTGTCCCCGTAAGGCGGTGTCTTCCCGGGGAAGCTGCTAGGACTGTCCGGGCATCGTTTTCCACCACTCCGATGCAGGCGCTACCCTCCTCCAAAATTGTGTGGACGCCGAGGCCATGACGGACCCCACGCCGGCCGTGGCCGTTGTC